TTACTCTCAGTAGAAGGTTACATTAAGAGGCAGTTTGCATGGATAGGGAGATAATGGTTAAACCTACATTTAAACAGGTTAAGATGATAATGATCGTGGAAACATTCTCTTGGGAGTCATTTCCACAGAACAGTGGTTTGCAGGAAGAAGCTTTTCAACGGAAACTTACTTCTTACCGATGGAATACAGAGGAAATGTAGGAGGTTTCCTAGCCATGAATGTTAGATCTGGCAGAACCAAGGAATACATTCCTTGGTTCTGCCAGGTTCGTCTGAGCACTTTCCATGGAAGTAGTGGTAGAACAGCAAGAGGATTCACTTCATCCCACCTGTGAGAGAGGTTGAAGGGTGGAAAATAAAGAAATAAAAAAGGGACATGGAGATGCTTTTAAACTCCATCAAGACTGGAAAATGAGAACTGGGCAGTTCCCATCCAAATATGGCAACTGTACTCCATTTTTAGCCTGGATAGCATGAGGAGTCAGATACTTACTGGAGCAGTACAGGGAGCCAACCATTTTTCTTGTATCTTTAGTGATGAATTGTATGTAAAAGTTCCACTGGAGATAAATGGTGAGTTTAAGGCCCACTAGTCTCTCAAAGCTCCCCAAGAGGTGATCCATTTATCACAACAATAGTTCGGAATCTGATCAGTGATGGTGAGATGAAACTAGTCTGGTTTTCAAGGCATTGAATGTAGCCAGCCAGTTTTTCCTTTCACTGGGCAATTAGTGCAAGATCAGATGAGAGATCAGCTGCCAATTAAGAGTTTTAATGGTTCACTTGTATATAGTCGTATCATCAGCATATATGTTTACAAATGATCTGAGTATATTCTTGGGCAGATCATTAATGTAAATCAAAAAGAGGATTGGTCCAAGAAGTTACCCCTCATGGATGCTTGCATTACCACCAGGGCCCTGGAGGACTGGCCATTAATGTTAGTATCTCCCAAGAATATAGAATAACTTTTCCTGGTTGTCTGCTTTCATCTGTTACAAAACATTTCATGTTGAAAGGATCTACAAAATATACTCATACACAAATAAATATCATTCTACCCCACTATCTTTCCAATGAAGTTATTGCAATTCCCAGATCATAAAGAAAAGAGAGGTCTTTAGAAAAACCATGATCAACTATATTATGATGGAATATAGTGTTACAAATAATAGACTGTTGGCCTTAGCAGCAACTCTGGCAATATACTTGACAAATGACAGTTTCTCAATAATTAATAGAAAATCTCTAATATTATTTACAGTATTTGGAATGATTGGTTTTCATTTTTATGACCTGTTGGGTATTATTTCAAGCCAAAATATATTTTGGATTGTAAGTGGTTGCTTACAGTACACAGTGTTTCCAAGCAATACCCCATTTAAGTACTGACCAGTCTTGATGCTGTACATTATTTAGAAGCATTCAATTCCTGCAGTAATTATAAGAACGATGTGTAGTTTCTCAGATTTGCTAGTGACATTGATTTTCATTGGTTACTTATGGATTATGGCTTTGTTTAGTATATTAAATAACTATAATCATTTGACATAATTGTTATTTTTCCATTGATCTGAATTCATTAAAACAAATGAGTAATTTCTGTTTGTTAATAAAAGAGACATTTTGCCTTTTATTCTTTTAAAGAAAAATCATTTTAACCAGAAACACAAAAATTGATGGAGTTTTCTTTTTGGGACAAATGAGAATCATATTTCAAAAGGAAATCGAACAAGGAAAATTAATTATGAGATTTAACGATTATTATTCTCCTTAAAATATTAATTTTGCACCTAATCATCTTTGACTTCCTAAGTAATAATAAAAACTATGGATTAGACTTAATTCCTTTAAATATCAAGTGAGAAATTTTTATTCTCAGATCATGATTGTTAAAAAAATTAGGCAAGGTTTTTTTTTTTTTTCAACAAAAACAAACTTAGATAAAATCTTTACTGAAAACAGCAAATTTCATATTTTCATTAAGTGGGAAATGTTGCCAGAATTTTTTGATAATTTATTGATACCTTTTGCCACTAATCAAATCAAGTTTGTAGATTAGTTTAGTCTGGCACAAGACTAAACAGAAAGAAATAATGTTGTGCCAAACTTTTAAATGGAATAGACCCTACATTTGAAATTTAACCAGGCTTGAACATTAACTACTGGTGGTAATTGTGCAAATATCTAATCTACTAAGGTGTCATTCAAAACAAGTTCTTAAATGGCTGTAGTCCTAATAATAATCAGATTAAACCTCAGAGTGTTTTTGAGGCATCTTGGATCATTTTTAGAGCTTATATCTGATGATCAAGAACTTCTTATTTGCAATAGATAAGGAAAGTTTGACTAAAGAACTAAATATCTTTCAGAAAAGCTTCTTGATTGGAGCCAAAGACGTTTTAGTACTTTTCAAAGGTTGACTGTAATTTCATTGAAACAGGCATTTAAAGCAATTCTTTCCACATTTTTTTTTTGTTTTTGTTTTTTTTTTAGCTGAGTATTCTAGGAAGAATATATATTTTTATATAAGTTTCAAAATCATTTCACAGAATAACTATCAAATTTGAAACCACACATCCAGCTTTCAATGTTGTTATTTAACATCAGTACACCTTTCTGATTTAATTTTGTAAGGAAACTACTTTCATTTTATGAATATTTACAATGCAAAGACTAAAACTTATTTATCAGGGCTATTACTGAACTCTTGTTATTGTCCCTTTACAATAGCTACTGTCATGACTTATTTAGGATATTTTTCTCTATATACTACTTCTGGGTTTTTCTTATTTGTAATCCAAAGAAAGAACTGGTGCCAATATCTCTTTTCATACCTTTGAGTCAAACAATGAAAACCTTATCAAGCTTAACCAGAATTTCAAGTCCAAATTAATAACATTATGCATACTTTGCTTCATCAGAACATGAGTGATCATGACTTTCCACAATTTCCTCTCCTTTGTAGCTCTTAGTAAGTTTTGTTTTTTCACCATTCTTCTTAGTCCCTGTTCTGTCATCCATTTACATAAGCTCTTTAGGTAGCTTACTCACTGCTTTCCTTTATCTCTTGCCTTCAGCAAATTCTGTGATTGTTAAATTCACCAAACACTCTTTCCTCATTATGCGTCATAGATATTTCAATTGTCTCTTTTTGATTTAAGTATATGCATCCTTTTTGCTTGCATTTTCATTAAAACTTCCTCATTACTCACATATTCAGTCCATAGTATTCTCAGTATCCTCCTGTAGAACCACATTTCTGTTAACCAAAGTGTATTTTTCATGTCATATAGGAAAACCAATATTACAGCATTTGTTTCAAATAGAAGTTTCCTGTTTCTTACTACTTTTTAGCTTGATGGATTATTTTGGCTGAATAAAATCTTAAGAGAATGATTCTTATTTTCAAAGCATTATCTTTCAAAGTAGAGTACAAAATATATTCTTCTTCCTGTTGTTACTAATAAAATTTAAAGGGAGTATTTTTATTTATGATGTCTTGTTAGAGTCCAATATTTATCCTTGTTCAGTTAGCACAAATACTATGACTTGTCTTTTGTCATAAAATCTTTAACTACATTTCTTCCACTATTTCTATGACTTCTCCAAGTTCTGAGTTGATGTTGATATTGACAATGAGAGACTGGAATCCAACATTTTCAATTCAATCATGGTAATATATCATTTCTGCTCCACTCTTATGATGTTTGTACATGAGTATATTTTGTTGATCCTTTCAATATGAACCACTTTGTAACGGATGTAAGCAGACAACCAGGAATAGTTTATGTTTTTTATTCAAAAATATATATATATTTTTGAATAAAAAACATACCACTTTAAGGTTCCATGTAATAAATTATTTAACCACAGCCCTTTTAAAGGGCTCTATTACCTAGTTTTGCATAAACTATATATATATATATATAGATAGATAGATAGATAGATAGATACAAATATATATATTAATCATGACAATGATTTTATTGATCAGAATTCCAAGTTCTTTTTTTTTGTTTTCCTTTTTTAGCTGTAAACCGTAAAGTGTCCAGAAGCCCAGAAAAAAAAAACTGTGAATTTATCATCTCTTTTTGTACCCAGAATTATATGGACTGGTCATGTCATCAGAATGAGCGACAATCAAATATCAAAAGTCCTCATATACACCCAGCTACACAGTGTCAGGAGAAACATTAACAAACCATGGCTCAGGGACAAAAACAAGCTGAATAGGAATTTTGAAGCTACCAGGCTATCACATAAGGCTTTTCAACAGATAAACTCGGACTGAAAAAGTGGTAAGTATGTTGGCATCAAAGCATTTGAATTTAGATGCCTCCAAAATCAAAAGCAAAGACTAAACAATCTCTATTAAAACCAGTGTCTCGCAATCCCATATCTTAAACCCAATGTGAACTTTCCTGTCTCTTGCAGTGCTGAAATCTCTTGCAGTTCTTTAGTATTTTTGTTATTATTTTTAAAAAATAGTGCTCGATACAAAAGTAGAGCATAAATATAAATATTTATTTAAAAATATGATTCCAATGCTACATAAGAGGTCTCATGTTTCAAAACAAGAGCCGAAAACTTCAATATAATTATTTGAAGCTCATACATTGAATCTAGTGGGAGAGTTCATTATTATACTGTATAATAATAAATTTTATACTTGTTGTAACCTAGGGAAGGTTACTGAATAGAATAATCACACGAAGATTGGTAATGAATGATAATACTTAGGACAAGAACAACACATAGAAGAAGTAGTCAACTGCAAGAAGTGAGTCAAGTGAATTCCATAATGAATCTCCAACTGCAGACCAACATATAGTATTTACTACTGTATTTATGTGAATGGGGACATACCCATTATCGTCCATAGGTATGCTACAATAATATTATAATATAAAAAATAAATATGAGGGTTGTTATGCCATCAAATAGGCTATTTACTGTGGAAAGAGAGCAAAAATAAAAAAATCTGATTGCTTCACTTACAGATAAAGCTTTCCAGTTGTTGTTCAAAATTTCCATCTTTTTATTTAGATCTATTTTCATTCGATCAACAATCTCTGCGATCAGCATCCTACTTTTAAGGTTGATATCACTGCAACAGTTTCGGGTTAATCGGTGAAGAGTGGTCAGTACCTGCTGCCGAATTTCCTCTGATTCATGGGCAGTGGACATGGCATTGGCCACTTTTTCCCATTCCAGCTCATGTTCCAGATTCTTTAGGTAGGCTGTTACATGTTCAATATTATTTAGAGTAATACACAACTGGAAAAAAAAAAAAGGAAGGAAGATAATTTCATTTCAATCATTTATTTTTTTAATCTCTTTTTTTTTTACTTATTTCTTTTGGTTACAATGTCTTATATTAACATATCTTACATGTCTTATATTGTCTTTAACGCTGTTAAAGTTTAAAGTTAATAAAATTTTAAAATTCTGTCACGTGATACAGCTATTAAATAAAAACTATATTTACTAATCATAAATGAAAAAGATTGTTAGAATTTGCTGACCCCCCTCACTCCCCAGTATTTTAAGAAAAATTTTGAATTTTATTTTGTGTGTTTATAAAAATGCTGATTTTTGTACAGTCCATACATAACATTATCAGAAAATAAGAGCAGTAACAATTGTAAATTTAAAATTTATTACTAATTTTCTAACATTTCCTCAACAAGTATCTTTGTAAGAAACATTAAATTTAATCTATTAGCTTAGAGTTAAAACTAAAATAAAACCTTCAAGAAACACTTAAATTTTTAAAATATATTTTGGACTTTAAATATCACTATTTTTTTTAAAGTACCCATATATATATATATATATATATATATATATATATATATATGTGTGTGTGTGTGTGTGTGTGTGTGTGTGTGTGTGAAAATATATAGGAAAGAACTCGTTAGGTAAATAATCCAAAGTTCTTTAGTATTTTTGTTATTATTTTTAAAAAATACTGCTCGATACAAAAGAAGAGCATAAATATAAATATTTATTTAAAAATATGATTCCAATGCTACATAAGAGGTCTCATGTTTTAAAACAAGAGCCGAAAACTTCAATATAATTATTTGAATTAAATTGAATTAAAAGTAAGCTTGTTTCATCTTCAAGTGAAATTTTTTTTTTTTTGAAATTTTTTTTTTTTTTGAAAAAAAAAAAAAAAAAAAAATTTTGCTTGAAGATGGAACAGAGCTTAGTACTTTAATTCAAATAATCATATTGAAGTTTTTGGCTCTTGTTTTGAAACATGAGAACTCTTATGTAGCGTGTTGGAATCCTAGTTTTAAATAAATAATTATATATATATATATATATATATATGGATATATACATGCCAAAGTGGAAAAATCTTTCATGTAATGTGCTTCATTCTTTAGAACATAATTGAACTAAAGTTGTGTTTATATTGATACAACTACACATGTGCACAAAGGAAAGGGAATGCTGAGAATTTTAAATTAAAATTCTTTTTTAAAAAAACAAAATCTAGAATAATTATCATATTCAATTTAAGAGCACTCAGAATTTTTAGCTCTCAGTATTTACATGAAAAGGAGAAATACTTTGGAAATACTTTTAAGCTCTTCTAATACCTGAGTTATTTCATATTCAATGTGAAATAAATGGCTCATAAAATATTGAAAAATAGAAAAGCAACCTTCCTGACAAACCTAACAAATCAAAATATATTGTTCTACCCACAAAGTCTAACTTCAATAGAAAAATTATCTATGCTCAACACAAAACTTGTTACAACTACATGTAAAACAATACAAGATTTAATTAATACAAAACAAAATAATAATCTAAAAGTTGAAAGAGGAATTACTCTACCACCTTTTGCCACAAGGAAAACAGGAGAAACTTCAAGGAATTTAAATAAAAGATTATATCTGAACAGAAAAGGCAAAGACCCTAAATACATTGATTGCTCACAATAATGAGTTTGAACATCAATTTAAAAAATACAACTTTAATTAAAGGAGAAAGCCATTTACTAAGATGAAAATGTATACAAAGTGCTTTAATAGCTAGATCAATCACAGTTAATTTATTTCCAGGTTCTTACAAGATTTCACCTTTCCTGGCAAATCTTTTTTTATCACAATATGAGATATTTAATAAGTGATTTAAGTGATAAAAACAAAAAGTAACTAAATAAAATCAGCTAAACAATATACTCAAAATATATATAAAAAAAAAGTTTTTAATTGTCATCATCTAGTTTCCTTCATGCACATGTGTAGTTGCATCACTGTAAATATCACATTAGCCTGAAGTCCTAAAGGCCAAAATACATCACACAATGACTTTTTTCACTTTGTCATAGTTTTACTCTAAAAGTGTTCTTGACATATAAAAATTTATATATCATTTTCCTATATATATATATATATATATATATATATATATATAGAGAGAGAGAGAGAGAGAGATTGTATGTGTGTGTATATATATATATATATATATATATATATATATATATATATATATATTATTTTTTATAACAGACAACAAATGGTTCTGTTCATAACATTTCTTTCTTTCACGTGGTCATGTACAACATCATAAAACTACATTATGAATTTATGAATTGCATCTGCTATTCGGCAGCCATTATAGTTGCATAGCAAATGTCTATGTAAAAATAGCAGGATGTCATCTTTGATGGTGATCATCGCTGTCGTAATGTCCAGATAACCACTCTACAGATGGTTCATGTAAGCCGAAAGCTTAGATCGATGGACAGCATAATAAAAAAGTATCCAAATGTAAGACAGTTTTTGTCGTTATTTTCACCTGAAACTAAAGCCACTATATGAAGCTTAGAATGGCTCATGATCAAACATAATAGACATTCATTGTCTGTTATATTTAACAATATATGTTTGAATAATGATCTGCTACCCCTATACACTAAATATATATATATATATATATATATATATATAAAGAACAGTAAGATATATAATCTGGTGTTCTTATAGATATTTTTAATTTTACAAAGTAGTGCTCAATGTAAATTTACAGAGCATTAATATTATAAATTAATTGATTTAAAATATGTTTTTTTTTCGCTACACAGTTCTATGTTTCAAAAATGGAAGCTAAAAGCTTCGAATTTAATTTTGTAATTAAATTAAAGACATTAGTTCCATTTCATCCTCAAGTGAATTTTGGAGTATCTTATTACTGGGTTTTAAAAGCACAGCAAAAAACTTAATTCACGTTTCCAAGGATACAGAGAAACCCATTCATCTAGACAAGGGGTGGTTGCAGGTTCATTATCGCTGTATTTTGATGTATCAGTTATTAGTTACATTTTGGTAGGGGTAGGGATGTATTTTTCAATGAATTCTGACATCCGTTAAATGCATGTCGTCTGGACATTCTGTCGGATTTTATCCATTTACACTTGCTTATATACTGTCTACTGAAAACACAAACCTAAATTCGTTTTTTACAACATGGAAGATTGCAGGCTTATCCGGAAATACAGGAATTTTAAAATAATCACGAACTTTTAGGAATACGTTATGAAAGCGTCGCCCATGTGACTACGGCGTGACCACGTTAAACGGAAAGCTGATCTTTTTAAAAATTTTCAGTTATCTGTTTTACTCTTGGATAAGACTTGTGTTTTTATGTCCATCGTTTTCGTCATATTGAACTGAATTTGTATTTTAATGAATTTGTCTTGAAAATGGTTTATTAAAACCGAAACGTCTGACGTTGACAATTCTTTCATTTTAACTACATTTATGGATTTTTGTTTGTTTTTCAAATTTCTACATTCTGTCGGATTTTATCCATTTACACTTGCTTATATACTGTCTACTGAAAACACAAACCTAAATTCGTTTTTTTTACAACATGGAAGATTGCAGGCTTATCCGGAAATACAGGAATTTTAAAATAATCACGAACTTTTAGGAATACGTTATGAAAGCGTTGCCCATGTGACTACGGCGTGACCACGTTAAACGGAAAGCTGATCTTTTTAAAAATTTTCAGTTATCTGTTTTACTCTTGGATAAGACTTGTGTTTTTATGTCCATCGTTTTCGTCATATTGAACTGAATTTGTATTTTAATGAATTTGTCTTGAAAATGGTTTATTAAAACCGAAACGTCTGACGTCGACAATTCTTTCATTTTAACTACATTTATGGATTTTTGTTTGTTTTTCAAATTTCTACATTCTGTCGGATTTTATCCATTTACACTTGCTTATATATATATATATATATATATACACATATGCATGCACACATACATACACACATCTTCTATATATATATATATATATATATATATATATATATATATATATATGTTTGTGTGATGGGTAAATTGTGTCAACTTCACAGTAGTGTCAGTTGGGCACCATCCATAAGAAAAAGGGCACCATGAACCAATTTACTCCACCAGAAATTTGAAAATAGCATGCTGTACTGCTTGGCATTTGAGCTGGAAGCTCCAATAAAAACATTTCAGAGTGTTTGAGTGTCAATCTGAAGATAGTGCAGAGGATTCAGAAAGAGTTGGATGATATATCTAGTCAACATCATGATGTTTGGAGTGATCATTAGTGATGGTGACGTCATGCCTGTATTCATCTTCCCACAGTGCCTCAGACTCAACACCGAGGTCTACATGAAGTGCCTTGAGAAGGGAGTGCTGCCCTGGGTCAGGAGGATGGCTGCTGGAAGACACTATGTCTGACAACAGGACTCTGGACCATGCCACACTAGGGGATCCCAGTCATGGCTGTCAGACAATTTCTGCAACCACCCCACCCCTTATATTTGGCCATCTAACTCCCTAGACTGCAACCACCTTGATTATTATGTGTGGGGCAAAGTTGAGTGAGAAACAACAAAACTCCTTGTAATACCAAAATGAACCGAAGGCAAGGATTATGGCAACAAGGAAACTGCCCAGAAGAGTTGCAGGAAATTCCAAAGTCATCTGGAGGACATGGTTGAAGCCAATGATAATTTTATTGAATAGATTTACTCTTTAATATTCCAAGATATTTTTGTGTAATTTTGGTAAATATATTTGTTAAAATGAGATGGCAGTGTTATTTTAATTTTTGTGTAATTTAGACAACAATTTTTCTATTTTACCCTGTATTTATGTAGATGTATACAGATATCAGATTAAGCTGAGTAAATAATTATTTAGAGTAGCTCCCAATTGAGTAATGGTTATCCAACTAGTCAAACATAGCATTAATACTGTAGAAAATTCCATCCTTGCTGTGTTACCAGCTATGCTATTATGATGGCTGCCCTTTCGTTTCCATGTATGCTCATCTGCTAAGATGGCTAGCTAATCCCTGTTGCAGGTGCCTGATCCAGCATATTTGCGTTTCTTCAACACTCACAGATCCAACCTGCGGTTTATATTGCAACAGACCTTAGTTATATTATGGAAGAAAGCACATCATCTGGCATGATCTATAAACTGATAATATCACGATTATAATCCATTAAGGTCATTGGGATTCTACATGCACTTCAGCTATCTAGGGTAAGATAGGCTCTGTCAGGCTATCTCTCTCCAGAATGGTTTTTGAATTCAGAGCTGACCTTCTCCTAGACCAGTTCTCCTAACAAGTCTGAAGAGTCCAGTCTGCCCTATTATTTAAGATTTGAATTCAGAGTTTCAGTTATGATTACTTGTGACAACCGTCAATAAATTCTGCACAGTTCTATCTAATAAATTTCCCTCACAAGACTTGGGTCAACCCTATAGTAGTGTTTTCAATGGTGCCAAACACTGGAATCCTCTCACCAGGCCAATATTATCAAGAAGCCATCTCCTGGATGAATTTTGAACCCAGGATTCATGGTTGGAATGCTAACATTGTAACCATTTGGTTATCTGCCCATAAGATTAACATATGAAAAAGGGAGAAAATCATGTAAAGCTCTTTAAACAAAATGAAAAAGGAATAGGAAGAGCACACTAAATCAGCAGTAGAGAAGAATAGACCTGTTTATTTCCCTGTAGATTTCTCTTACCTGATCAGTGATGTCAAAATGGTTCTCCTGTTCATCATAATAACCATTATTCTTCAGAGTCATGTGAATCTTGTCAGCATACAACTTTACACAATCACAGATGAACTGCCAAGTAATGCAAAACAAAACATAAATAAAATCAATTAGGAAGAAAGAAATGATCAAATTTGCAAGAGTTTTAAAGAACATTCTGGAAATAGTTTTTCTAAATATGTTGTTCAATGATAAGTTTCAATATTGTAGTTATCCTTACTGACCATCCGTAATATAATTATCACCATCATAATCCATTAAGGTCATTGGGATACAACATGCACTTCAAGCATCACAAAAGTTGTATATCTACAGCAAGATAGCCCGATAGAGCCTAGCTCTCTTCAGGCTGGTTTTGAATTCAGAATTTACCTAGGTCAGTTGCTCTAACAAAGCTAAACAGTCCAGTTTGCCCTATTATTTAAGAAAATTTGAATTTAGTTTTTTTCTTCTCCTCAACTGGCTGACTACCCAAGAGCTCACTCTTCTCTGCTATTTAACCCATAACTGGAGGAAGATGGATTCATGCCTTTTCCAAGGGGCATTAAACAGAATTATCCAGAATTTAAATTCAATATACCAGTTTCACTTTTCATTTTACCCACACATTGAATATTATTATACCAACAAGAATATGACAAGTGTATGAGGGTAGTGAGTTATAGACTAAATGTGCCCGCCCAAATAAGCCAGTCTACACAAAGAACACACTTGGGTGAAGATGTGTATGAACACATTTAAAAACTGAAAAAAAAAATTTTCTTCCTCAAGCCAGAGAAGAGTAGTTCTAGGCTCATTATTAGTAATCATAATAGTACTGAGGTCTGACTGAAGCTAGAAAGCCAATATGTGAAGGGTATGTTAGTGAGTATAAATATTGCTTGCCGTTTGTGTGTAAAATCCCTGGGATTGACTTAATGGAGGAAAGTAGACCACAATATAGCTTAAGGTCTTATCAAGTCTAAATCCAGGACTACTAATTTGCAAAACTGAATTCTTTTTACATAAGCAGAGTGGAACTTAAATTCTTTCACCCTCACACAAAAGATCCCCAAACATAAACGAAAATGCCTACTAGACGAATAGACACACATAAAAATAAATATGCCATCTATATTTCTGAGATGAGGTATTATGTACATTATTGACATTATTCGGACTATTGTCCTCATCTTTGTTGCCATATTTATCACAACGTTTCAGCCGTTGTACACTCTGGCCTTCTTCAGGTGGTTGGAATGTCGAACTGAACCCTTTATTTCGCTCACGGGGGTAGACTGTTCTAGTTCCATCAAACATGGCATGTGGAACTAGAACAGTCTACCCCCAGTGAGCAAAATAAAGGGTTCAGCTCGACATTCCAACCACCTGAAGAAGGCTGGAGCGTACAACGGCTGAAACGTTGTGATAAATATGGCGACAAAGATGAGGACAATAGTCCGAATAATGTAAATAATGTAAATAAATATGCATTATTATCCACATATCATCCATATTTAAGCATGAAACAGACCATCACCATCCAGTTTGCGATTATACATACATATATATATATATATATATAAATAATCTATAATATATATATATATATATATATATATATAAATAATCTATAATATATATATATATATATATATATAAATAATCTATAATATATATATATATATATATATATATAAATAATCTATAATATATATATATATATATATATATATATAAAATAATCTATAATATATATATATATATATATATAAATAATCTAATATATATATATATATATATATAAATAATCTATAATATATATATATATATATATATATATATATATATATATATATATATATAAATATATATATATATATATATATAAATAATCTATAATATATATATATATATATAAATAATCTATAATATATATATATATATATAAATAATCTATAATATATATATATATATATATAAATAATATATAATATATATATATATATATATATATATATATATATATATATATATATATATATATATATAAATAATCTATAATAAATATATATATATATATAAAATTTAAATAATCTATAATATATATATATATATATATAAAATAATCTATAATATATATATATATATATATATATATATATATATAGAGAGAGAGAGAGAGAGAGAAAGAGAGAGAGAGAGAGAGAGATTTAATTGCAAAGTACAAATGCAAAAAGTGTAATACAGACTTGGAATGGACAATAATTCAAAATTCTTAAAAGAAGATAATCAAGTAATTCAGGATTCGTAGAAGAAGAAAAAGGAGGGAGTACTCAACATAGGGTTGTTATAATTCTACTAAATTTTTTTTACATCCTTAAGTTGTGTGTTAAGTATTATTATCACAAGTCAGAAAATTATTTCTCTGTTTTCAAATAAAGACAAAAATATCAATTGACTTGCATTGTATAAAATTTGACTACATTAACTGTAAAGTTAGTTACATTACTAAGATATTTCATAATTTCCATTAATGTGCACTGAAACATTTAATTGTAAATAAAAAACAGATTGGACACCATACAAATTGGCTCTTAAATAATGATTCTAGATTGCTATAAGGGAGACTTATTTAAATACAGGGGTTGGCTGAATAGTTCATAGGCTGACCAAGATACTCTCATGGAATATTACCAAATGAGGTTTATTTTTCAACATAATCCACCTTACAGTCCTCACATGTCTTCCATCGTTGTTGCAGTCTTTGGATTCCATTGGTGAAGAAGCTTTCATTCTGTTGGTCAAAAAATCCATCAACTGCAGATATGATGTCATCATCACTGTGATATTGGTTTCCAGCCAAGTGCTTTTTTTCATTTTGGGGAACAGATAATAGTCAGATGTGGCCAAATCAGGAGAATAGGGAGGGTGATCAACCAGTTTAAAGCCACCATCATGCACAGCTGCCATTGAACCCAAGGACTTGTATGCCATAGCATTGTCCTGATGAAACAAGAGCCCTTTCAGCAGTTTTTCTGGGCATTTTGTCTTGATAGCATTTAATAACTACCTCAGCAAGTTAGCATAGTACTCTCCATTGATGGTGTGGTCCTTTTGAAGATATTCAATAAACACTTTTTGCATCTCCAAAACTATAGCTATCACCTTTCCTGCAGATGAAACAACTGTGTCCTTCTTTGAAGCAGTTGAGGAGGGCTATTTCCACTGCATGGATTGTTTTTGTTTTTTTTTGTTTCTGACTCAGTGATGACCCCAACAATTATCCTGGGTTAGGAAGTGTTCAAGGAAACCAGCTGGATCTACCTTCAAAAAAATGTCTGATTTTTCTGTGATATGATCAGCCTGGTGTACATTTGATCAGGTGTTAGAAGATATGGCACCCACTGAGCAGAAATGTTCATCATGCCAATTTCTTTATGCAGAATATTCTTAACTTTCTCACAGCATATGCAAATAGCATTGGCTATATTGTCATCCATCATCATGCGGCAAACACAAGGTATTCCTCAGTGGTGGCAGTTGCAAGATGTCTGGACCTTTGGTCATCTTCAAGTCTCTCCCTTCTCCCCCTAAATTCAGCTGCCTACTTTTGCACTGTTGATACTAAACCCTTTTTCTGCAGGTACCATAATGCCAAATTTTGTCAATTTTCAAGAAAAGTCATAACTAGTTACTTTTGCAGTCACATGTCAGTTCATCTGGTATTCAACATTGCAGTTTTTAATAAGAAGAGTTTAAATAGATGCATGCAAGATTTTATAGCTCTAACATTACTCCTTTGTAGTTAGCCCTTGAATTTTTCAGCCCACCCATATAAACAAGTTAAGTCATATATAACTGTTTTGAGGATGCAGAAATAATTTTGTATAAAATTATATCTATATGTGTGTGTGTATATATATATAAATATATGTGAAAATATAGAAGATAGGAAAGAACTGGTTAGGTAAATAAATCAAGGTTCCTTAGTATTTTTGTTATTATTTTTAAAAAATAGTGCTCGATACAAAAGTAGAGCATAAATATAATTATTAATTTAAAAATATGATTCCAACTCACGACATAAGAGGTCTCATGTTTCAAAACAAGAGCCGAAAACTTCAATATAATTATTTGAATTAAATTGAATTAAAGTAAGCTCTGTTCCATCTTCAAGCGAAATTTTTTTTGGAATAACGTATATCTGAAATTTACGTGTTTTAATAGTATATTCATAATTGAAATCAATATTTCCATGGTAACAGCCAGGGCGAATTGTTCAAAATAGTTAGGGGTGTGTTGGGTGTTAATAATAAGTATCAGTATAGAGTTACTTTCATAGATGTCAAGTCAGGGTAAGGTGGGGGTGTCTAAATTTGAAACGGAAGATGTTTTCGCCTAGTCTAGCTTACGTGTCTATGGAGATTTATTTATTTTTTTATTTTAGTTTTTTATGAAAGGGATTTGTGCATATAAAAACTGCCGTAACATTTGTTTTTTGACGACTTCATAAAGGGTTATCTTTTTTTGTAGGGTATTTAAACTATTTATTTGGTCTATGGATTATAAAAGTTATTATATTGTATGCTTGTTATTTAATTCAGTGTGTAAATTTGATGGTGTCGGCAAAAAACCGTTAACTCATGTCTATTGTTTAATAGATTTTTATTATTTAGAAACTTAATAATGTGCAGTTTCTCATGGAGGCACAAAGGGCATGGGTCATCCCAAGCTTTACAAGTTCTAGTCCTATTTATAATTTTCCATTTTACTTTAGGTGTCCTATTAATTTCTTTCAGATGCCAAAAATATTTGGATAGGGAAGTCTGGTTTCTTTTATTTATATTGTTGAAAGAGCACTTATGCTGCCTCCATCTGGCTTTAAAATCATTCTTATATTTATGGGTGAAAGTGCTCAATATCAGGAATAGATCAAACATCAAAATATAAAAGTGGACACTGTGGTCTACACCAATTGGTGACAGTCTGCTGAAGATCTTGTTTGTTAATTGAACATAATTTTTATCATCCATAAACATTGTTTTCAAATACACTAAGAGACAAGAAGGAAGCCAATGGGTTTGAAAACGATATGTGACATATATGCCAAATGAGAAATCCTTTTCATAGGAAAAAGGAGCATTTTTCAAGCCAGCATGATGTTGTCTTTCAGTTTTCCAACACTTGCCAAACTCCATTTGGTCATATGTTTGTATATATATATATATAAAAACAATTTCAGTCTATGCAACAAAAATGGATGTGTGAAGGACATACAACAAAAAAATTTTACATTTCAACACTTGTCAGATTATTTAATGTCAAAACCTTTTTTTATACTTGAGTCAATGTGTAAACATTAATTGGATATATACTCAAGTTTGCAAGTATCCACCCAAAGTGTGCTATTTGGTTGAGTTAGTCCTCTGCAAGAAATGTGCTCTGCATATTCTATGCTCCACCAACAGGACAAATAGGAAGGAAGGAAGGATAACAGATGGAGCAAAATGTTGGCTGAATAATGTCCAGTGAATAACAAAAGAAAATGGAAAGACGAAAGAAGAAATGGTTAAGACACAATAATGAGAGCACAGTTATGGTAGTTATGGAAGGATTTGGGAAAGGCTTTTCTACAACTATGGACTAAAAATATACAAGACACATGGATGCTTGAGACAGTATAATTGTTGTCAGTACAGAAAACACAAAACCATGTTTGAATTTTAAATGAGATTGTTTATACTCATTTTATACTTATTCCTCTGAGAAATGTGATTTGTTTGAAAAATTTTTTTTGAATCACTTCTCCACTGAGACACAAGGGGTTACTGAGAGTGAAAGAAGATGAGAAAATGTTAGTAAGGAGAAAGGACAATAAAAGAAAAGTATTTAGGAAGACAGAAGATGGTGAATAAGGTTGCACATAAACTTTTGAAGATCGTAGATCAAGAGAGTTACACAGGTGAAAAATACTAGAAAAGAAACTATTAGAATAGAACTTATGGTTAGATCTTTGCTATTTCAATAGTAAAATGATGAGACCTAATTGACAATCTAGTACTATATCTAAATTCATGTGATTGAGGTACAAAGGAGGAAAGCTCATTAGAACCACTGTCATAAAAATATTTATAGAAAACAATTATCTAGGCAGAATATTTTCTTTCAAGTATGTTTGGTTAAATAATTTTGCTTGGTGGCTGTAGAAAACTGATTAAGAAAAATTCCAAAATTTTCTTTCAAATAATTTTTATTTTCCCCAAGTACTTTCAGTCTCATCTGAGACCATTTTCAGGGGGTTAAAATATCTGTGGATGTGTATACAGTAGCTCCGTAATTTCAAAATATAATTTTTTTTTTTTTCACTGTTCATTTACAGCATTATAAATTCAAATATGCAAGTGGGGGAATGGTAACTTTTGTGATTGTTTTATTTCAATATTTAAAAAATGAAAAAGATTTTAATTTTTTAGTTATATATTAATTTAGTATTTTTTTTTATAAAACTTTGCTGCTACAAACATACTCATAGTTGATATTATTTATTTTTGGTCACAATTCTTTTATATAAAGGACTTCCAGAATTTTAAATTTTTGCTTATTATTATTCTGATGAAGTACTAATGTATTTTGAACTGTCTAAACTGGGAATGTATTATCTAAATATGTTATTTAACCAAACATGCTTGAACATTGGGTGTATTTGGCCAGTAATTTTAATTTATGCAAGTTTGGTTGATGACAAACAATATTTTAAGTTAAATTTTCTATGTTTTAGACCATTTTTTCTTGTTTCCAGACTGAATTTGAACACTTTATTCAGATATAGCGAATATTGTATTATTCACAAATTTAATTCGTTCATGAAGTGCTCTTGCAAACCAAAACTGTTTTCTCCATAGGAATTAATGTAAATTGTATTACTCCATTCCTGGAACCCAGATGATTGCTTATTTAAACATTTACAAGTGTACTTTGTGCACACATTCATGCACAAATTCAATGAAAATCATTAAATCTGAGACGAAAAAAGATAAACACAATGCTAAATAGTTGTAAACATCTGTCAATAATATAATGATATACGGGTCTCCCTCTAAAGTCTTGATGATCAAAGATTGACAACTGATCTCTTCCCAGTGCCTCTAAAACCAATTCCATCACTGCCAATCAGACTCAAACAACCACCACTCATGATGAACAGATATCCCCTTGAGGAGGCCCCATGCTTTGAGAGTTGGGCCTCAAACTCACATCTGGTCTCAAGTGTAATTACTATATACAATCCATTGCTAAAAATGCAGGTAAAATGATTGGCTCCCTGTACCATTCCAGTAAGTACCTGACTCCTCATACTATCCTTTACCTTTATAAGAGTCAGATCAGGCCAAAAGTGGAATACTGTTGCCATATTTGAGCAGGAACTGCCCAAACCTCACTTTCCAGTCTTGATAGATTTCAAAAGTGTCTCCAAGTCCTTGTAGGAGAATTATTTTCCACACTCCAACCACTCTCCCACAGGTGGGATATGGCGAGCCTTGCACTGCTCTATTGCTACTACCATGGAAAGTGCTCGGACAAACTGCATCTCCTGACTTTCACGGTTAGGACTTGCCGTGCTACTTACATAGTAGCAAACCACCAACATTCTCTCTGTATTCCATCAGTGAGAAGTAAGTTCCACTCAAACAGTTTTTCCTGCAAACCACTGCCATATGGAACAGACTCCCTAGAGGATGTTTCCCCAAATCATTACAATCTTAACTTGTTCAACCATTATCTTCCCCCTCCTATAATACACCTGATCATAACCTTCTACCTCAAGTGAATCCTGGGGCTTGTACTTTACTGTAAAAAAAATAGAGATGAGAAATAATTTAATTTAAACGTATGAAGGAGAGTTGATGGCGTAAGTAGATGTCATTGTTTGTTATTCTTGTAATATATTACTCATATCTGGATCAGTATATCTTGGAAATATCAGTTGGTTAATACCACATGTGTTTTTTAGAAACATTAACTTGCATAATAAAATTAAACATATTTTATACTAATATATATATATATATATATATATATATATTAGGAAAATTTATGAGAAAATGGAAAAAACTTTTTGTGTGATGCATTTCATCCTTTCAAAGTTAATCAGACTAGAATGACATTTATGTTGATGTGATTACACATGTACAGGAGGGAGAGAGGATGCAGAAATATTAAATTTAAGTTTTATAAGATTTCTTCTTTTTAGTGTGTGTTTTAGGCATCTAGTCTGCCTGATTACATATACTTTCTTTTTCTTTGTTTTGATCTACCAAAAAAGGTAAAATTATTCTAAGAACCTGGATGTAATTTTACTGTGAATGATCTAGCGATTAAAGCACTTTCATCTTAATAAATGGCTTTATCTGTTAATTAAAGTATCATTTTTTTTAATCAGAATTACAGTTGACTCATTATGGTGAGCAACTAATGCATTGAGTGTATAGTTTTGTAAAACAAAGAAAAAAAAATCAGCTCAACTATATAGCTAAAAACATATATATAAAAAAAACATTCTCTCTCTTTCACATATATGTGTAATCACATCAATGTAAACATCTCTTTATGATGAAGTCCTAGAGAATAAAATGCATCACACAAAAACTTTTCCCACTTTATAGATTTTCATAAAATTATTCCAATATATAAAAATTTATATATTGTTTTCCTATATATATATATATATATATATATATATATAAAGTTGTCTGTTTTCATTGAATTATATATGTATATATATATATATATATTTGGGAAAACACCTACATTTCTCACCCACTTACATTTCTTACCTGCACAAGACAGACCTGCTTGCAGAGGTGTTGAGGTCACACACATATACATACACACACTCACAGAAATATATACACATACACACATCAAACAAACTCCCAAAAAACTAAAAAATAACATACACTTAACACACACATCCCATTCCCAGCAACCAATAAAACTGTCAAAATGACCAAGGAGGGAATTCTGAGACTCAGGAATCTCCCAGCCTGTATTTTAAAAAGAAACTTGAAAGTGGCCGTTTAACTAATAAAAGGACTGACCAAAATTAATGATAAAAAAAACATTGAAAACTACAAATAAATTTCACTTTCTTCAGAGACAGTCATTCACTACTGTAGTTCACTGCTACTAACAAGCAGGGATTTTTTCTCCTGATGAT